CCTGCTGAAACGTCTATTGAGAATCCTGTATCAAATGGTCTGCAATATGTAAAAAGGAAGTAATTGTGTGTGGTTTAATAAATACATATTGCAGTTTGTTGTGAGATTTGGGGTTTGTTTTTCCCTGAACTAAGTGAACCTTGACGGCCATAGTGCAACTTCACTTTTATCAGTTAAAATGTGAGAAGTCTTACAGAAAACAGGTTAGTGTTTTTTACGTGCAAGGTTGCATTAATTACAATTGAAGCAGTTTTAATGTGTCTGAGGAAAAAAACAAACTTGACTGCAGTGAGTTCAGGATAAATTACTACAAGGCTTTTGAATTGTCCTGTGGAGGTTGTGCAGGTTTTGCAAGCTGTGGTCTTGAATATAAAAAGTTAATTTACAAGCTACTGGTTTGATATTCCTTGATGATGTGAGAATTTTGGAAAAAGCTGCCATAAAGATTTGTCATCCAGTTCTCTGTTTGTATTGTAATAAGGAAAAGATTTAGCAAATGGCACTGGAGAAATGGACACTTGTAATGACACACCCACTTTCTTTTTCCTAATTCCAGGGCATATTCCCTTGTGGATTCCAGTCAAGTGTCTACCTTCCTGATTTCTATTCTCCTCATAGTCTACGGCAGTTTCAGGTAAGATTTTCCTTTAAGGTTCTGCAAAATTTTTCTTTTTTGAAAACGTGGCAACTGACTGAATGCAGTTTATGCCTTTTGTTTCACTTTTATCAGACTGATGGCTAATGTAAATTAATTATTTCTTGCTTCTGAAAAGGAAATGGAAAAAGAAGAAAAAGCAGCTTGCTGGGGTTTCTGAGAGGCATAATTGCATGTCAAGTTACAAGGACGTGTAAGATAACTTAGAAGTTAGTCCTTGAAGACAGCTCTGTATAATTGTGGTTTGGAGGGTATAAAAGGAGACAGAGGTAGGAATTGAATGTTATTGATAGTAGAATTTTCTGTAGAATTTTCTATATAACGTTTCAGAGCTGGTTGATTCAGCATGTTGTCATTGTGGCTACAAAGTCCTGTAAAACAGACTCCTGAGTCCCCGCACTGTTCACTTGAGCATGAGGAACAGCGCGGTAAAGAAGCAGGAAACACTGACAGATCTGATCCCAGCAAAGTGTCTGGGAACTGCTGCAGGATACACTGGAGATAAAAAAATCACATTTGCCCCATTTTAGGAGATTTGAGTATAGTCTAGAGAGAAAATAGTTGTCCCTGTTCCTTTGGACTTCGATCTTTTACTACATAGTTTGTTTTAATGTAGTGGCACCTACAGAATGAGGTTCATACTGACACATGAAAAAATAATTAATCACAGCATGAAAGTATCATTTTCTTCAAACTTTAAGTACAGCATCCTTTCTGTTTATTGAAGAACACTGCTTCATTATGATAAAAGGCCATACGTGCACTATGAAGTCTCTGAACCCCTGTGAGTATTTCTGAAATAGATGGTGGCCAGGGTCATACAGATGATGTAAGTTGTAGCTGTAAGGATAAGAGGTGTTAAATTGCCATAATAAGTTAATAAAGTCATATAGTGAAAGATCCAGTTTCTGGTAAAACTGTCTGTTGTTGCTAACAAGTATTAGGTAACAGCACTGCTGAAGGAATTAAAATGGAAGGCTTAAGGAAAACAAAATCTAGACGTGATGAAAATAAAAAATTAATAAAAGTTTGTATTTGCTCAGCTTTTTTCTTGAGGTTTTTAGTCAGTTTAGCATATAAAGAACTAATTCAATTTTTAACTATTTTGATTTCTGCAAATTTGTATTAAATATGTACTTTTTAGTTGTGTAAGAAGTAACTATGCATCTGGCTGCAAGAAGCCCCAGCATTTATTAAAACTCGGTTGTGAAAGCATAATGCAATATAAAACAGGAGGAGTGCTTGAACTTAAATTACCTGCTCTTCTCAAAGCTCCTTGCTCTGATAAATCTTCCCCTGCTGTTTGCCATCCTGTTCCTGTCTACATATGCTCTTTTGCCATCTTGTCCTATGTCTGACGTTTAAAATTGCTCACAGAGCAAGGACTGCAAACTTCAGAACAATCTGACTGGGTGAAGTGGTGGTGTGGTGATGGATATAAATCAGTTGAGGAAATGCCCTGCTCAGTCCACGTCTTTCCATGTATCCTGAGGATCCTAAGATGCAGGCTATTACAGACCAAGATGGGGTCCCACAGTTTTATATATAGTTAATTTCCTAATTAATTTCCTATATACAGTTTTCTTTAGCAGATGTCTGAGCTGAAACCTGCCATTATTATGATGGTGACTTTGACAAACTCCCATTCTGTTAGGTCTGCAAATGACCTCAAAAGCAATTTTTTTACAGAGAATTACACAGTGATACAACGGGGTCTAAGATACAATTAAGTTATTTAAGAAATTCAAGTGTGGTAGTAAGTAGAAAAACTATATTAATCTGGAAATTCCTCAAGTAGTGAAATCAAAATTTCTGGCAAAGTGGATGGATTTTCTTAGAAAAGTGACTTGTCAGAAAGATGAAAGTTATGGCTTAAAGAGCTCGTGCTCAAATGACAACAATGTCTTCACTGAGACGTGAGTGCTTCATCTCAAATGGAGCTGTTATAAGACAAGGAGAAAACAGCACTCCTTAGTTAACAATGTTGCAGAAAGTGGGTTTGGTTTCTGATGTTCAGTCTGAAAAGAAGCCAAAAGAGTTATTGTGAATGTGACTTAAACAGAAGTGCAGTAATAGGATCAGAAAGAATTGGGTGGGTGAGTCATTAGGATAAAATCCATGTGTGTGGTGGATCTAATCTAATGCAGGAGGTTTCAGGGGAGCCTGGAAAGCCTTGGTCCACTGCCATTATTCTTACAAGCAGCAGTTGGCAAAAACCAAACCAAACAAAAAGACCCCAAACCCTTGAGATACATGCCCATGGGTGAAGTCTGCATCCAGAATGAAGCACAGCTTATAGAGTTTAGTTCCCATGTCTCTCACTGTGGATGAACGAGCATTTCCTTCCTGCATTTGTGCTGGGTCAGGAGTTTAAGCTTCAAGCCCTTCTGAACATCTCTCCTATACACATTCTGACAGTCTCTCAGTCCTTGAACTTGATAGCCTTTATTATTGACTCCTAAAGGGGCAGCTGTAGCTGTAATCCTTTAAACTGTTAGAAGCTGTAAGCTGGAGCATGCAAGTATACGTGTTAGTTATGGGTTCTTAAAGAGGTGAGTGAGCTTGGTTTAAAACAGGTTATTTTCTTTGGGTTCTTGCAAGACAACCACCTATTCTTGTCCTAGTGCTTCTCTCTGAGTTACATGTTGGAGTTACTCTGGAGGCAGGTAACAGCTAAATCTTCTTCTATCCCATCACATACCCAGATAAGGTCTGTCAGCTTATGTAAAGCCAGATTTAACCCAGAATCTACCTGTTCAAGTATTTGCTTTTAAACCAAACCAAGAAGCATGGGATGAAACTGGTGTCTTCTGTCTCTAGGCTTTGGATTCCTACATGTGAAAATAGAAGAAGTTCAAATTGTGTCCTTTATGACTTGACATTTTCAGAAATCAGGGTACATAAATTCACAGTAAAGAGAAAAGATTGTGCTTAGTATTCCTAAGCACCTAGAGCCTGACAGGGTGGAACCTTTTTGCGGAATGTTACAAAAGTTGTCTGCATGTGCACACCAAGTGGGTGCATGGAAAATACCTGCTGAAGGTGAGATCTTCTTATCAGAGGTGTGAGACTCAGGCACTCTTGCACCGTAGAAGCAGTGAAAACATTTTTACGTGCATTTTCAGCTGTTGTTTCCCCTGTTCTTACTCCCACTCCAGGTCTGCATTGGAACTTAACTTTTAATCTCATAGGAACATTTTATAAGCAACCATAGCAATGTTAGAGCACACAACATGTTGTAGACTGTCTATAATATGCAGTGAGATTTGGTTGAATTTGATTGTCTCAGGTCAATGACTGATTCTGATTGTAATGTTTTATTTAGAGGAACTGAAATCTGGCAGTGCTGTGGGAACCCACAATTCTCATAGTCCCAGGGCTGTTAAGATGGGTGACTGTCCTCACTTAGTAGAGCAAGAAGGAACTTCTGCATCTGCAGGCAGCTCTGCAGGTACATGCTTGCTTTCATACCTGCTCCATATTCTCCTGCATAGTTTCCTCAAAGTCTTCCTGCAGTGGAAGTGATCCATCACTGAATCTGAACTTCCAGGATAGTCATGTGCCAGCAGCTTACTCATCCTTTGGTCTCGCTGTAACACCAAGTGGTTCCCTGTGGGAAGCTGATCCAGATTGCTTTGGAACACTGTTAGAAATCCTACAAACTTCAACTGTGAGGACCTACAGGAGAAACAACTTGTAGTTTATTGCCCAGGGGGAGGTGCTGGCTTAATTTTGCCTCTGGAAGCACAGGAAAAACAAAAGCAAATGTTTCTCAGCCTGTGATTTCTTTACAGTCCAGTAGTTTTGAGCATATCATGTTTTACAATATAATTTTAAAAATTCTTGGAGAATGTTTTTTTGGGTGTTTAGTGATCACTTCTCAATTGTTTTATTATGTTACTGATGATATGTAGCAGAGAGAAGAGCCAAATCATAAAACAGGTGGAGATTATTCAAAAGTTGTCTTGGATCAGCAGCTGTGTTGCTAAATGAAAGTAATTTCTTAATTTATTCTTACTTTGGAGATAGGGCTGTCTATATGTAATAACTTTGTAATTGCAGTGAAAGGAGAGAGGCTGAAGTTGTTGATGAGCTGCAGATCTGTTTCTCTCCAGTTTTATCTGCTGGTAGCCATTGAAGGATGAGTTGCCCAATACCACTGGGAGAACAATGGTGTGAAGTTCTTGCTAAACTGCACTAATTCAGAGAGGAAGGAAATGCTGCACTGAGAAAACTATTATCTTCTTTGGGTGAACCTTGGATCAAGTCCTAGAGGGTTCTCAGCCTTATCTTGCATTTTTATAGCTTGAGATGAGGCTACAATACATTATGGGAAAAAGGAGGTGTGAATGAAAGATAAAGCATCCCAAATGAGATGCAGAGCAGGGACATCTTTAGAAGAACACAGTAAGAAGAACAGATTAATTTCTTAGAACTTCAGTGTTCTCCGTTATCCTTGCATATGTGATCTTTTTAGTTGATCCGTAATCTGCACAGTAGTACTTTATGTCTGAGGTTGAAGTTTCCTCATATTTTGCCTGAGCCCAAAAGCTGCTTTAATATCATACCACGTTTTGGAGCACTTGGATAACAGAAGCAGAAGAAACAAACTGGTATTCTACTGGAAGAGCCTTTTTCTTGTTTTTGTTTTATGCAGTGGAACTGCTTAAGCCCTCTTTCTGTAACACACCGGACATCTCTTGATACTATAGACCTGCATGTGCTTGATTTCAGGTGCTATGAGTGAAGCACAAAATTGCTCACCTGTGCCTCACACCTATATGCTAAAGTGAGCAGGGAACTTTGGTGCTTACGGATTTGTGGAGAAGATTGTGGTGTATCTTTTACTTGTCTGATAAATGAATAGAATTAGTTTACTTTGCAAAGTTCAGTTACAGCTCAACTTGAAAAGGAAATTAATGCCTGTTGTCCTGGAAGTTGTATTGAAATACCTGGATGCTGCTGCAGACTTAAGACAGGAGCTGTACACTGGGAGCTGTACAGTGCTTCGGGTGGTTCTCTATAGCTTATTTGAATAATAAATATGCAGCTAAAGCATGGATAACATGCATGTATGAGAATGAGAAACTACCATGGTAAACCTGATTGCTAGTATTTTTATGAAAAACAATGTAGTATTTAATGATAGAAACGTTTTCTAGCCAAAACAGACCTTAAGTAAAATCCCCCTGTTTCAGAAGGTGAGGCCAAAATTTGTTAAAATATAATTTAGAAGTTGCATTAAGGTCAAAGACAATGGCAAAAGGGGTTGAATACTGTGCTCTTTTGGAACTTTTTTCAAGTGTATGTATCAAAATGAATAGATGAGTCAATTACAGCTGAGCTGGGAACATTGGGAAATACAGTAATCTCCTGTGAATTAATTAAATTGTATCAATTTGTGCTATTTATTCAGAGTTTCCTCTAGTCATCTGTTCTGCCTTTATGTAAAATACACTTACAGTTACTTTCCAAGCTTTGCTGAAACTTTCAATGAAGCAAGACATTCAGCAGACATTTACTTCTAAGCTAGTTTTGGCCATCATTCATAACAAGATTTAGAAGAAGAAAAAAAATGATACCAAATAGTGCAATTTAAATGAAAAAGATCAAAATGAGAACTTGGAAAGAGTTCAAATACATCAGAGAATTGAAACGTTTATTGCATTTCCATCGTGTTCTACACTTCCCAGTAATGCAGTTAAATATCTTTGTTGTGGTTGGTTGTTAACACCTACCAGTTCACACTATGGTAACCAGTCTCACTGTAACATCTGAGTGATTTGGTGCCTCATCTCTACCTGATGTAATGTATATATGGTGTTTTTTCTCTAATAACCATGATTAAAGGCCTTTTCAGGGAGAGGCTACTGTGGTAGCATGGTAATGAAGCTGTAGCTGATGGGCCAAAATAGGATTTCAAACCTTGCCTGTTAAGTTTGCTTTGTTTCCCGCAGGTCTCTCAACATGGACTTTGAAAATCAAGACAAAGAGAAAGACAGTAGCAGCACAGCTGGGTCTTTTAATGGCAACAGCACCAATAACAGTAAGGGTTAGCTGTACTTCTTACCTTTCCTTCCTCATCTTGGTGTGCTCCATCTTCTGCTTCATCTGTCTGTGTGTTTCAGCTACATGTGTTGTAGGTCCACCTGGTACGGTGGAACTATGCTGTCTACACACTTACCCTCCTGCTCTGCACTAATCCTGCTAGCCAGTGGGAGCTAAATTTAAAACATCAGTGTAACATTCCCATAATGCATAGAAGCTGCATGCTGCACACTTTGCCAGGTTTTACACTAAATGGAAACAGCTTAATATTTTTTTAAAAAGACTACACAATTATGAGAAGGGAGTGTAATTTCTTTTTGGCTGGAGTTTATCACTAGGACATATTAGCCAGCCTGTGAGAAGTGAGAGATCTCAGAGGATGCTAACAAGGATATAAGGATGATTCAGCTTTATCAATAGAGAAACTGAAGTCTACAATTCACATGGCTTTGGGCAACTCATTTGTAATGGAAAAGAAAGTATATATCTGCACACAATCTATTCAGAATGGGGTGTAACATGTCAGCTCCTACATGGTGATTATCGCCTCTGTAATCTAGAAATAGGTTCCAGGCTTGGCCATTTGAGATGCAGTGATTTGCAGGTAAAAACATGTATGTGAACAGTTAGACTGGGATGTGTTGTACACAGTGTGCTGTCAATTCATACCTAGGTTCATTTTTAGCAATATATATAGCCATATTCTGAGAACAGGCTCTAGAATGAATAGTTTCCACAAGTTTGTAAGACAAGAGTGAGATATGAGCAGCCCTGTGCATGAAACCCTGAATGCTAAGGTTGCTTCTCTTAAAGTAAGAAATACAGCTTAAAAATTATAAAACAATTAATATTATGTAGTATGTCTTTTCCTTTTATGCCTTCTTTTTTTAATACAGACTGTGGGAATGTACACAGTAGCCAGAGCACTGTTTCTGCTGACAACACAGAGCAAAGAGGTTGCTATGCTTGGTGATTCAGCAATGAACAGTTGAGGCTTTTGGCATCTGGGAAGTAAGAGAAGACAGTTTGGGGCTGGGGAATAAGCACATTAAGGGGATTAGCTGTCAAAACGATCAGAAATGAAATGAAGAACTCTTGACATTTAACACTCCAGACACTAATTCCCATCTGCCAAGGTGGTTTGTAGTATGTAATTTCTGGGGTTTTGTTTTGTTTGTTTTTTCCCTTGGGAAGTTGAAGGGCATGTGAACAAATGCTCTTTCTCAAAGCAGGAGGAACTAGATCCAAGTCACAGATTAGAACACAGGAATTTCTGTGTCTTTGCAATAATACTTGACTATCTATATTGTACTTTACCCTTTTGTACCAGACCTCAGTAACAGAAATGCTAAGTGACTTGATTCTTCTGCTTTTTACTTTTAAATTGTACTGTGCTACTTATGTTTAAGAATAATAGATCTGTGACCTAAACTAAAAAATGATCATACAGTGCAAGAGGCAGGGCTTCCATGCTCATTGTTAGCTTTTCCTTTGTGAAAATGGTTAAATACTTACGACAGATACTAAGTTGTAGTGAGTGTATTTAACGTGTGTTTCAAGTTTTTTAACATACTTGGATACATTGGTAACTATGAGCTTGTGTAGGTAACCTGTAATTGAGACAACTTGCCACTCTTCCACAGAAAAAACAGACACATTCTCACACACGCAGGATGTATGTCTGTATTTACTTGTGTGTCTCTGTATATGTTTGTACAAACATATGCACAGATGTTCTGCTTGATAATCTAAAAGCTTATCCTTAAAATCTTGAGACTGGTAAAACCTTTTTTATACAGCAGTGTCTTAATTGCTAGGTCTGAGTCTTGTAATAATTTTTCATTAGAGACATTTTGGATACTTCTTACCAAGTGACCACTAGATGTTACCTCTTATTTTAATGCTCTGCAAGTATGTTGTGCATTTGAAATTGGTTTGCTGCTTATGGTTTCTTTCCCCCTCCACTTAGATCAAATGAAAACACAGCTACAGAGACTGGTTAAGTATTAGAATTTGTGGGGATAGGTGGACTTTTCAAAGCCTTATCCTTGTCAATTTTGTTAATAATTCTAAAATCTCATGGTAGAATATAGTAAAAAAATATCCTGTCCCATTATTAATACCCCTAGTAGTCACACTCCATGGTTGAGGTGAGGGAAATAATCAGAATAAAAGACTTCAGTATCATTTCACTGTTTAAAATGGCTTCCAGCTATAAAATATGAGCATGAATTCTCTTGTTTTTTTTAGCATAAAAGACTGTAGTGCATGCTGAACTGAGCTGGTAGTTTCATAAACAGGTAAATGGCTTGGGTGGTTTTTGAAAACTGCCCTTTATTGTTAGGCCTGGTGCTATCTGGTGATTGCAATCAGTGATACCATTTAAGTGCAGGGTGGCCTTCACCCAAGTGGAATTTGAGGCTGTGGCACCCTTTGTATGAGCTTGGTCAGCCTAACGCTGTCTGCAGCTCTGCTGCTGGTCAGACTCTCTTTACCTTGGGCTGAGAGGTTAAATAAAAACTTTTATATGCTCTGTTGAACATGTTGCTCGGCGTAAAATGAAGCAAATATACAATTTCTATCTGATTCCTAATCCCTAAATACTGTTAATTTTTGTAACTTGTTATTCATTCTATCTATGGCACAAGAAAAAAATCATGTATTTTCTTTGAGCTTTCAGTTGCTGGATTCTGCACAGCTCTGCTGCTGTTGCACACACCCAGGCACTGTGACCTGCAGTTTCCCTGGAGTGTTTCTGCGCAGGCTGCTCTGCTTGGTTATGAGAGTGCAGGAGGATCCTGGAGTGAACATCTGTTGTACCAGCATTGAAATCGAATGTATTGTCAGAGTCCTCAGTTGTGTTGGTGAGGACTGGCTGTCAATATGTGTGTGGTAAGAAATAGCAAAAGTTAAATGTCACTTACTTTCTCCTGCAGGTATTCAAACCATTGATTCCACCCAGGCGTTGTTCCTGCCAATTGGAGCATCTGTGTCTCTCCTAGTTATGTTCTTCTTCTTTGATTCAGTTCAGGTTGTCTTCACAATATGCACAGCAGGTGACTAAGTTTTCCTCTCTTTATAAGAACTGTAATAGAACAGAAAACATGGCTATAGTTAAAAATTATTGATAAGAACTATAGTACATGTCATAGTACATTTTAAAAAAACCACCTCATTGGGTTTCTCAGTTGTATTTACATGTCTCTGTAGATATTAATAAAGTGACAAGTATTATTTGATAAGCATTTTCCATGTAGAGATTTGCTAAACCTACTGAACTGTAAATTGCCAGAGATTTGAAAGATGCTGGATGTATTGTTTTACATGAAGTTCACTAATTTATAAATCAGTGCTCAGAGCTCTAAATGGTATTTCATAACTCAGGTACTTTGCAGGAGCACAGCATAACTGGAGCTCCTATCCAGAGACTTCTTTTTCTAGTTTAATTTTTGGTTTTGCTGTTAGTTTTTCTTTGTTTCAAGGCTACTTCTAGTCTCACTAGCATTTTGAGTAGTATTCTTTTGCACTGCTTGAATTTAGAACAAAAATGAAACTACTGTCTGCAAATAAATTGTAAGTTCTCTGATTCTGTTTATTATTTTTTACATTTTTTTATTTAAGTAAATATGAGGACTTTGATTTTTAGAAATTTTGGCCTTTTGACCTTTTTACAGTTCTTCAAGGGACCAGCTGCTGTTCTGGCTAGGAAGAATCCAAATATGCAGCAGCTTCTAAAAATTGTACTCCTCAGTTCACACACTGAGTCTGTTGAGATTTTTAAACCCCTAAATACCTCTCGTCCTCTCCTAATTCATGTATATGCAATGCAGGCTTTTCATTCATGATTTAACTCCTGAGCTATGCATCCTCTCCAGCCTCTTAAACAGGGCTGATGTTGATGGATGAAACCTAAATCTCTGCTTTTGACATGAGTTTTTAGACTGTAGTCTCTGATTCTGTAGGCACAGTCCTGTAGAGGTCTGTTGAGCACTGCTTTTACAACTTTGACCTATGACATGTATGTTATTTTCTATTAAAAAGCACTATTACTTCAGAGAAATTCAACTGTATTCTAGGTATATACATGTTAGAAGGGAAGATTTCTGACAAAAGACAAATCAACATTTGTAACTTTATTTGTAACACACATTTGTGGTGTGTAATTAGACAATATTGCGTCAGCTGGGGCTTGCTGCAGATTCAGGGAGACTGAGTCTGTCTGGATCAGGGCACTTGGATATCATCACTCTTGGGTCTGGTTTCATGATACTTTTGTGCTTTTCCTTGGTCTGGCACCCAGGGTGTCATTAAGCACAGGGGACTGACCCCAGAGCCTCTAAAATGCAAAGCTTTATTAGAGGCTGTACAGCAGGGTGTGGATCCCTGCTGGATTTGGGGACTGGGGGACTTGGTCCCTCAGCCCCCTGAAGCTCAGTCTTTTTTATAGATTTTAGAAGCTGATATGGGGGGGATTTCTACATTACAGCTGATGTCTGGTTTCTTAAAGCCCTCTTAAATCTTCCTCCCTCAAAGATCTGTCTTTCAGGGAAGAGTCAGGAGCAAGGGTAGGTACAGCAAACAGCCAAGGCCAGGACCAGCTGCTGAGCAGAGGGCAGAGCTGCAGAGTTGGCGCGTTGCCTGCAGACAGGAGTTAAGCCAAAGGATTTGCCAATTGAATAATAGGTATTGAGACTAGAGGGAAGAGGATATTTCTGACTGGCAGCCTGGACAGTCAGGAGCGAGTTTGAGAGTGGGTACTTGTGGGCACTGTATGAGTGTGACTACAGTTGAATTATTCTACTCTTTGAATTAACCCAGCTTTGAGGTGGTGGTGGTTGGGGATCCCAGGAGAGGAGGCACAGGGTTCCCTGCTGAGAAGAGCTGGAGGGGAGGAAGGGGAAGGAGAGATCCCAAGGGCAAAGAGGCTCACTTTGGGATGAGGAAGGGTCAGTCCCACTATGGTGGAGGCAGAGTAGGGAGCCGGGCAAGCAGGCAGCAAGGCTGGCAGGGCTTGGGGCAGCAGGGGACAGATTTTGCTGGGCAGCATTCTTGCCCAAGCACAGCTGAAAAGGTTCCTAGTTCAACGTGTGCAGAGTTGCCACACATAAAAAAGAAAAAAAAAAACTGGAAGGAAAAATTATAAATACCAGCAGTTACTAAATGTTTTTACAAATGTGTGAGTGGGATAAGTATGCTTGTTAAAAAAGAAAATGTTTATGGAAATTGTCTATTTGGATATTTATGTACTTTTATTGTCATGTTTTCAAAAGCTCGAAACACTTGATACTTCAAAAAATTTAAGTTGGCAGCTAGTGAATATAACTTAAGTTGTACTGTGTTTCAGTAATGAATAAAGGGTTTTGAGTGAGATGGAGGAAAAAACTGAGCCAAAGAATGGAAAAAATATCCTTTATTATGCTGACTTAGTCTGTGTCATATGTTGAAGATTGTTAAAAGAATCTTGCAACCAGGCTGTAGTAAGTTATTTTCAAAGACTTTTTCTTGTTGACCTGATCATGAATAGCTTTAAGACCTTTTTTTTTTTTTTTTTTTTTTTTTTTGAGGTTTGGGAATGGGGTGTTGCATTCCTCAGAGCTTTTGTTTTGATTGAAGTTTGAAAGGTACTAACAATGGAAGGTCTGCAGCAAACCTTGGAGCCTTTAGCTGCTCTTGCTTCAATAATACTACAGCATATAATAATAGGACATTGTTGCAAGAGCTTTTTCAAATTGGAGAAGCTTGTTTGTGTACTGTTAGAAAGTAGGTTTGAAGGTACTAATATTACCTTTTCTTCTTTTTCTAGTCCTTGCCACAATAGCTTTTGCTTTCCTTCTGCTCCCGATGTGCCAGTACTTAACACGGCCTTGTTCACCTCAAAACAAGTAAGGGCTTGAGAAATCTTTGCTCCTCTTCTTGTATGTTATTTTACTCCTTCTAATGAAAATTCTTAAACAGAGTCTTTGGTTACAAGCATTAACCTCAGGGCTTCAGGGCTGATGTTTGTACGTATGTTTTATGCTAGCACCATGTTTCCACTTTGAAACTAGGAAGCACAGTTTCTGCAAGTCACTCAGACTTGCCAGCCTGGGAACTGGGGTACCATGGCAAGGGACTAGATTTCCCAGCAGTGGTTTTTTAAGAAGTTTTGCTTATTGTGGCTGAAATTTCAGAGTTTGGGATTTGGTATCAGATTTTACTGTTTGTTAACACTGGTCTATGGATTTTAATGGTGTCTCTTTCAGACTGTAGTGACACTGGTGAAAATTAATGTTGCAAAAAGCACTGTCTTAGGTGGCACTAGGAAATAGCATTCATGGTAATCATTTCAAGATTGCTGCCAGGATTTGCAGGGTTGTTTCCATCTCTGTAGTTCAGGCTTTACACACATTACTGGAATGTAAGGAAAGCTTTTATTTTGTTGCTCTTTTGGTACCTATTTGTGGCAAAGGAACTTCCCTTCAGTTGTTCTTGGCATCTTTCATCAGCAGTTGAGCCTTGTTCCAACAGTGTCCATTTTCAGTTCTTTAAATGGAAACATAAAGTCTTCTACCTAATGTTTATGTGTTGTTCCTAGGATTTCCTTTGGCTGCTGTGGGCGTTTCACTGCTGCTGAGTTGCTCTCATTCTCTCTGTCTGTGATGCTTGTCCTTATCTGGGTCCTAACTGGCCACTGGCTCCTTATGGATGGTGAGTATGTGAATTAAGGGATTATACTGCTGGTTTGTGCCTGTTCTGACAGGTCCAGTCACCTGGTGATGATTGGTGAAATTTGCTAATATTAATGGCTGGCTGAGTTGTAATATTATGTGGTAGACTCTTTGAAAACAACTGCTGTCAGGAACATGCCAGTGTAGTGGCTTTGATGCCTGTTTTTCTGGTTTGTGAAAGCTTCTAAGGAAGTGCCAGAACAACTCATGATATTCTGCACCTCTGTGGCATAGGGTGAATCGCCAGTTTTTGTTAAAGGTGTGTGGAGACAGTGGTTGTTTATGAATCAGAACTTGATCTTAACAATCTGGTTAATTTTTGCCATGCATCTTGTTGGGTTTTGGTTCAGATGATCAAATAATTTGTTGTGAGACAGTTCACAGTAGCTGGTAGTCTTTGATCTCTTCGATGCTTGCTAGTTAGGATGGTGAGATGGGTGAAGCTGGCAGGCATCCAGCTGGCTTGAAGGTGTGATTTATTTTTTTCATGTGGGTTGAGCTGAGTTCACAGCTTACTCTTCCAGAAAGGAGCTTTCCTCCTTTCCTCCTGCCTTCCAGACCTCTTGTGCTAGCTCTGGCACTCAGTTCATCACATGGTAAACCGATTCAGCACTAGAATGGCAGCACACTTTTTTGCCAGGCTATTTTTCTGCTGCTACAGTGAGATGAATCGGATTATTGTGCAGTCAGGTACATGCAAAATTTGGCAAAAAGTGAGAAGCAGCATGATGGGATCTGAGAGGATGGAGTGGATATCACAGCAAAGGGATGAAGAGGGAGCCAGGAACAGGACCTCTGTTTCCCAGTAGTGTGGGGCAGCTAAATTGGCCTAGAACATCTCATGAAATGGCAACTTGAGGTTGTGATTGCTGCAGGGAAAATAGCTGGGACAGTATTACCTGCCCCCAAATGGTTTGTTGCAACAGAAAACATACATCCCATCAGCTTTCCAGCTCCTCCTAAATGAGAGACCAGCAGTAGAAAGTCCTTAGCACTAAAACCTCTCAGGGCACCTTGATTACTTCTTTTGTATACAGTCATTATGTTTCATGGATGACTTTTATTGCTTTAGAAGTTCCTACTTTTCATACTTGTTGTATGTTAGGGAAAACCTTTTAAAGTACCCAGATACTAAATTAAAAAATACAATGATGTTTGCTTTATGTTAAGCAGAGTAGCTCACCATAAAATCAGGGGTGATTTTTAATCTGCAGTAGCTACAAAGCTAAATGGAGTGTAAAGTGTGGATTTTTTGGCAAAATCTGAAAAGACTTGTCTACACTTATTGACAGAAGCATTTACTTAAAAATAACTATTTTGGTGAGCACTTCAGTCTGAAACAGTGGGCTTTGAGGTAATGAATCTGCTGAGTACAGAACTGTGGTTTCTGGGTTTTATTTCTCTTGGTGTTTGTTTATGATTTACTGAATTGTGTTGATATTGTCTAGCTTTGGAGTATTTTATGTCGTTTATATTAAGGGAGCTTGTGCTATATAGGTGAGCCTCCTGTTGTTTCTTTAAATCCAATTAAATCAACATTTGTCAGTGACATTGAACAGGGAACAGCATTTATTTGCCTTCATCAGGGAAAAAGACTGCAGTTTTAGTCCTTGGGCTGTACTGCTGCCAGTGGGATCACTTCATCACCTTTACCTTTTGCTCCTCTGTAACTGAATACTTGAGACCTCAATTAATCTTGTTTTGAGGGAAATGTGGGTAGTTAAGTACTGCTCGGTAATATATGCAAGTGGAGCACTTGCTTCTTTTAAGCCAGTGCCTGCCAGCTGCTGGGTGTGCTGAGATTTAGCTCCTCCTCCTCCTGTGGGATGATCTTCTGTTTCACTGTCGGCAGAAAATGAAACAGATGTTGTGACGGTGCTTCCCATCGCCTGGGCCGGCGGCTGGAGGACAGGTGTTGCTTCTCAACCGTACACCTTGATTTTTGTGTGCATGGTTTGTTGTTGTGCAGTTGATTCTCTTAATGAGACAGTATTTCTACTTTAGAGGTGAGTAAAAGGAGGGGAAATACTTTATGATAATTTCCAGTCCTTACAAAACGGAGGTACGGCAGTTCCTGCCAGAACAGTCTTCATTGCTCAAACACTGCAATTAACCTGTGCACAGTAGTTAGTTGAACTGTTTCTAAAGCCAGAGACATTCTGCAGGATAGAAGGGCAGATACTGTCACCATTGGGTTGTTCTGGCATGTGCTGATGTACATTTCTAGGTCTTGAAATGCATATTTCTCAGAGTGGATTGTTTGATGACAGAATAATCAAGAATGGTCACTGTCCCCTGGTAAAGCCTGTTAAAAGGTTTCCTAATTAGTCAAGGTAGCTGGAGATGTACAATGGGAATGCTACAGATGTATGCAGTCTCTGTAGCTGCAGACTGAACTGGATGGTCATAGATAACCCAGGAACTGCTGCAGACCTTAACTCCTGTGGCAATCAGCAGAGGCTACTTCATGACTTGTGTTCATACTCCCACTCTTGAAAATACACTTTGAGAGTTTTATAGGAACATGGTTAGATGAGAACTTCAGTACCTGTTTCTTTCAAAGGTCAACCAGTGGCCTCTGGGGGAAGTTTAAGCCTTGCTAGCTTTGTGAATTGGACAGGGCACCACCAGCACCTTGGTGGGGTCATCTCTTCTGGGCACAGCAGTGCAGTAAAGCTGGAAAATGCACTGTGTCCTGAGAGACTAATCATATATGCAAGAATATTCTTAATCCTCAGAATATCCTTATTCCATAATGAACACGCTTGCAGGAACTGAAAAGTTAATTTGTTCTGTTTGAAAGTTAACTCTTTCAGTTAGCTCCTTCTTACTCAGCTCTGTGGACCCACTGTCCATTACTTCCAATCCAGAGCTACCATTTGTGTGGCTGTTTTGCCTTTTTTCCCCTTTTCCTCTTTTTGTGTGTGTATGGGTTTGGTTTGTTTGTTTTTAATGATTTGGGAGTATATTTCAGTGGAGATCTGCCTTATCTAGTGTGTCAACACCATCCACGAGCTTTGATATGGGTGACTTTATTTCTCATATGATTTCTGGACTTTTTCATTGGGTAAGGAAGCTGCCTTCCATTCAGAGAAGCCTATTGGTTTGACTGCACTTTGGCCTGTATTACTCATACTTGCTCTTAGGCATTCTTGCTTCCCTTCTGTTTCTAAAATTGACCAGTATTTCTTAAAACAGTTGCAAAACTGCATAATTACTATTATGTGTATTTCACTGTCATCTGAAGGAATTCTTCCCATCTCCTTTTCCACCTGGTATTTGCTTAGTTTGATGGAAGTGTCTTGCCCATCTGCCTGTGTTCGTTTCAGCAACAGAGAAATGGAGTATGTGAAAAATAGATAAAACTTCATGCTGGTTAAAATATTTCCACTTCTACTTAATTATAACCTGGAAATCCTCTCCTAAATATAGTCTTGCCTGAGCTATTATTAACATTGGCTTTGGAGAAAGCTCTTTGATATAAGACAGACTGTTCCCTTGTATTTGCTCTTCTGCCAGAGGAAATCTGTAACTGAAGGTTATATTGAATTACTGAATGTATTTCTTGCTGCTTTGCTGCATCAAATTATTTAAACTTCAGTAGTTTGCTTACATTTTATAGCTAGTTACAGTTATGCAGCATGATTTAGGGTACATTTTAATTTGAGTAATCCCATTACTTTGTTAAAACTGGCAGCTGTGACACTTAGTGTTGTGCCACACTTGTCAGTACTCAAAGATGAGGTGGGTTTGACAGAGTTGCTGCTGGGACAGGACCCCCAGGCACGACAAGCTGCTGCCTTCTCCCTTGAACCTGCATGGAAATGCTTCCTTAGTGTTTTGATGGAAGAATTCCACATCTTTCTGGTACAGTGCAAGTGTTAAGGTAGTTTTAGAATTGCATATTTATAGTGTGAGAATCAAAAGGTTAACTTGTAAGTTTTGGCCTATTTCAAGTTATAGTGCTGGTGAGCATAATGAATCCATTTTCCCTGGAGTTACAAGTCAGTCAAAATAGGTTTGTAACTTTATTCATTCTGTGTCATTAGAGAAATACATTTTGTTTGCAAATGTCTGCATACTGAAGTGAAATCTGGTCCCAACAGGGCTCCATTATTGCTTGTAAATATGCTGATGTCATACATGAAAGTTGATTTACTCTTAAACTGTTTTTTTGCTTTGTTGGTTTTTTTACAGTATCTCTTTAGGGATTTGCTTAGAACCAGTTGAAATACATTTCACTGTCAGTTGAGTATCTGTGGTAGCTAAGACTAGGCTTAAAGAAGCAGAAAATCACACAACTGTGAAGACTGGGAATTTTGGGGGTTTTTTTTAGTGTAACATCTTAGTTTTCTCTGTAACAAAATTCCCCTTAGGACTAACATCTGAGCTGCAGCTTGTTCAGCTTATTGATCTGGCTGAAAACTTACCCATATTTTTTTCCTGTTCGTAGGTAGGCTTTCACATAGATTTTGTTACTGGGAAATCCCTGTACACCTAAATGATGGATACATCATAGAGTTTGAACAGTCTTACACAATCTTGCTTAGGCAGAGTCATGCTGTGTACTAACATGTCACTTACCCATTATGTTTCTGAGTGAAGAGTCAAGGATTTAATTATTTCATGTATTTACTACAAAACCTCCTAATAGTGGAAAAGGAGACATTATGTCTGGGGCTCAAAGACTTGAAAGTTATCTTGTTGCTTCTGCTTTTATCTGGGTAGTCAGTGTTTTATAAGGGAGACAGAGTCTCTAGGACACAACACATGGAAACATTTCTTTGTGGTAGGTAGTAGAAGTTGAATGGAAAGGGGAGTTGTGCCTGAACAGGCATTTCTGCTTCAGTGGGGCATGGGTTGCAGTTGGCTACTAAATGTATTTTGGCTTTTCTTAACTCTGATAAGAAGAATTTCACTATCTGGAAATAGCAGACAGCCATCTAGTGCATGCAGTGCTGCACAGGTACAAACAGAGGCTTCTTTGGGATGTTTGAGGGGGGGTATTGGCTTGGGTATTTTTGTTTCTTTCTGTTTTGCTATTCTTAATGAACTAATTATGTGCTTGCATTTTGTAGCTCTGGCTATGGGCCTGTGTGTTGCAATGATAGCCTTTGTTCGGCTGCCGAGCCTGAAGGTTTCCTGCTTGTTACTCTCTGGGTTACTAATTTATGATGTCTTTTGGGTAAGTCTTTGGTTTGGTTTTGCTAAAATTGTTTTTATCCTTTGTATTTGTTAATTGGCCTTGGGCCATTTTTACATTAAATGGACTAGTATGAAGTTGATGAAATCTGGCAAAGCCAGAAGATCAGCTTCATTGCTTCATCCTGAGACCTTAAAGTCTGTGGCAGGATACAGAATTATTTCCAGGCTAATCAGTTGACAAAAGCAGAAACATGATTGGATTATTTCAACTTTGGGATATTATTTAAGAAAATAAATTGGACCTCCAATTTTGAAAGCCTCGCTGAAGATCAGAACAAGCATTTCCAAGTAAACACAAAGCTTTATCCACACTTGCACAATCCGAACGTGCTGACTTCTGATTGGCAGTGAAATCCGCAAAACAGGAATGCAGACTGATCTACAGGCAGTAAGGCTGGCCTAAAACCTTACCACACTTTTACAAAAAAACAGACAGAATATATATTTTTTTCCCTTTGTGTAACACTGAGCACAGATTCATAGTAGTGCTTGCTGATAGCTCTGGCAGCCAGTTTCCCAGAGTGATGAACTGTAGTGTAGGAGCCTGTGTAAACCAAGTGTTGCATCATTCCATTGTGAGTGAGGATGTACTTACCTCTTCTCTCCTTTCAAGCTTTCTTATATTTTCAGTATCCTGTTACCTGCCTTTGCAGTGTTGGACCACCTACTTGTAGTCCAGACTAATCCTTTGCCAAAGGATCACTATCTATTATCAATATCTTGATATAAGAAAGTATATTCCAGTTATTCTTGAAGATTAATAGTGTAAAAAAACCTTATCTGATTTTTTGAAATACATTTTCCCTTAGCATCATATATACAACCGTATGTATATGGAAAATGTGGACAATATCCTTTCTTTTCTTGAATAAGCAAAGGAAAAACACATGTATAGTTTTGAGTTGCTATATAATTGCAGTCTTTAATTTCTGATTATTTCCTTGCTCCATAGGTCTTTTTTTCTGCCTACATTTTTAACAGCAATGTTATGGTGAAAGTGGCCACACAACCAGCTGATAACCCCCTTGATGTTTTATCCCGGAAACTTCACCTGGGACCAAATGTGGGTAGAGATGTTCCCCGTCTGTCGCTGCCTGGTAAACTTGTATTTCCAAGGTAAAATTAACAGTTCTTCTACTGTATTATGTAAGAAAAATTTTCCCTCCCAATACTTTTCAGTAGCACTAATTTTATTGAAAAATATCACCTTGTTGAGTCACTCCCTCTTCATGATACAAAGATATATAATGAGTAGTCAGGATTGGGCACTTTGCATTTGCTGACTCATAGCATGCAGAAATCAGCCTAATTAGGTTAAAAGTGGCCTGTTAAGAACAGGATATGCTTTTTAACATATGTGTGAGTTCCACAGTTTAATGAGTGATATTGTAGGATTTATTAACTAATGCTTAAAAGCAGAAGACATGAGGTTTGTTATAGATCAGAATAGTCTTGATTACTGCATAATTGCAAGTGACTGGGAAGGCAGTAGAAAGTGATCTGAGCAAGGCTTACCAAGTAGGTGTTTTGTTGGAGGGAGAGGATTCCACATCTCTCTCCTGCAGGGATTCCTTGATGTCTCAGATATTGAACCAGATGTGTATAGGCCTGGTGGCGCAGTAGGCTCCAAGGGGTCAGCAGTTATGCAGCAGGTTATGTTGGCATATTTACTTGATTCTTGTTTCTTTAGATGTTGGGATGCTGAAATTACAGAGATGAGGAGTTAATTGTCAGCAATGATAAAAACAAAATCACTCATTTAATTGACTTTCTGATAACTTAATTTGGCTTTGTTTTCCTGAAAAACAGCTTGGATTTAAGATAATGGACAATTTTAGTTCTTAATCTACTTAACAGTTTGCTCTTTTTGGGAATCTGGTGAGACTATAGTTTTGTATGTGTTTTGTCTGAATGAGACAAAAGATCTGAGAAGTCTATTAATCAACTTACTGCCTTGTAGTAGAAGTGATCTATGTACATGGGAATGAAGGGGCAGTGTCTGACATTGTTAATCAAACAGTCTGATAAAACAGTCAGGTGGTACCTCACATCAAAGCTTAGAAAATATTGAAGATTGAAATACTGAGCTGATGGAAAGAAAAAGTCTTCAGTAGCCAGCATTTAACTTCCACTACATAAAAGTTGACCAGTAGAAAAAAGGGATGTGCAAAATGAAGCTGAAAACCAAACTGGAGGAGTCTAGAGCTTGTCACATTGTGTCTTGAGTGTGAATCTAATTTCAGTCGCTTTCTAGTTCCACAGGCAGCCACTTCTCTATGCTAGGAATTGGAGATATTGTGATGCCAGGTCTTCTGCTCTGCTTTGTCCTGCGTTATGATAACTACAAAAAGCAAGCCAACAGTGATTCCTGTGGTGCCCCAGGACCAGGGAACATCTCTGGACGGATGCAGAAGGTCTCTTACTTTCACTGCACACTTATTGGATATTTTGTAGGTGAGTAATTAGTTTAATATGGATAGCTGCTTAGTGAGCAGGAGTGGGATTATTGTAGTAGGTTTAAGAGATGATGAAAGCAAGTGTAAAGAGGCTTTGAGAGAATGCTTGATTATGTTATTTTTTAATCCTCCTCTCTTTGGATTTCATTGGCATGGTCTAGGGAGAAATAACCCTTCTACAGTCTTCTTTCTAGGATTCTTTGTTTTGTTGTGTTTTATTTAAAGAATGAAAAATATTATCCATGTATTTTTGTTAGCAACTTCATGCTTTGCTTTACTAGCATAGGTGGTGTCATAGCTCATACCTGGGTTAAGGGGAAAATACAGGAGTTTCTAGATGGATAATGCTGTGCACAAGTACATCTAGGTAGTTCATCTAGATAATTCCTGCATTTTTGTATTCTACTGTTAATGCTTAGGATCCTGTGACATTTTAGTACATACAGAAAAACGTAAGTAGTAACAATTGGAATGCTCCTCCCTAACATGAAATAGATTTTTCCCTAAGGTTAGGACATGGGTGTGCATAACCTGATCTCCTGCAGTCATTCTGAGGATGAAAAGGGAAGATAAATTCCTACTGGAAGCCTTTCTCCTCCCCTGCTGTCCTCTTTCCCCCTACATTCCCTTTGGGCAAGTATCCAGGAAAAGCACTTCTGGTGCATACAGTCCTTCCTCTTGGGTCGCTGCTTCTCATGGAAGAGCCTGAGACTGACAGTCTCAAGAGGTACCAGCACTGAAGCAGCACTTCAGTGTGGTGCATTCCGCTTCCTCCCGTTCACCTTTTGTTGTGTTTTCTTTGAGCTCTTCTTAGCTTAGTCTTTGGGATTCAAAAGTGGAGCAAGTGGCTTAACACAGCCTAATACTAAAAGAGAGCCATTTTTCACTCTTTGGTTTGTTTCAAATGTTTCCAGGGAAAGCAAAGCACAGATAAGTGACTTTTCCACTGCCTATCTCTTAAAATGGTAGGTGATACGTGTGCATTCAATTATTAGTATATCCATATGCAACCTAAAGATACAAACTTTTTTCTTTTACAGGTCTATTAACAGCAACAGTAGCTTCTCGTATTCACCGGGCAGCCCAGCCTGCCCTACTCTATTTGGTACCATTTACTTTATTGCCGCTCCTCACCATGGCCTATTTAAAGGTAAGTAGGGATTATACCTTCCTAGCAGGAAGCTCTGGGCTCAGCTGGAGGCGGGTGCAGTGTTCTTGCACTCGGCAGCAGTTTTCTGGGATGACGTGTGTCCTTAACTGCCCTGGCTCGGCACTAAGGTACTGCTGCTGTAGGGGTGAATCTTCATTATGGAGGGCTGAGTAGCCAGGAGAGGAGTTCCTAAAATAGAAGAGAATTCATGTACATAAAGTACCACTAATTATAAACTAACCAGATTCTGAAGTATTAAATGGTGTTTTCATTAAATGAGTGAATTTGTTCCCATTCTTTCGTGAAAGAATGCATGCACAAATGCATTATTTGAACAGAGACTGGAGAGGCAGATCCTTGCAAATCTCTTTCCAGCCACTTGTTCTGAACGGAAATCTTAGAATGTAACATTTCCTGCTACAGGGCTGTTGTTGAAGCATTCATCTAGCATTCTGCAGAGCAGAGTGTAAGGAAGGACAGGATTTTCCACCTGCATAAATATTTCCTTCCCATTTTAGGTACAGCTGCTACAAAAATAGGATATTCTGGCCTGACAGGGAAAGGGTTTTATTTTTTTTTAACTGTCTTTATTGTAATTTGCAAAACAGTTGAATAGATTTGCTTTAAGACACACTTGGAATTATATATGCGTTTTAAAATCTGAATTGCAAATGGACTTTAAAGTTTCTGAGGACATGGTCCTTCTGCTGTTTTCCTGCCTAGGGTGACCTACGTCGCATGTGGTCTGAGCCTTTCCACTCTAAGTCCAGCAGCTCCCGTTTCCTGGAAGTATGATGGAACAGATAGAAAGTGACCTGAACTTCTGCCTTGGTCCTTTTCACTTTAACTTGTGGCTTTGTTGTCTCCTAAAGCTGGACTGGCTGGTACTTGGGAAGGTACCAGTTATGGGACTTGTATGAAAGGACTTAGTATGAAAAGGAGGAGAAGGAAAAAAGCTAAGATCTTGGAGCTCTGTGTGACTCCGTGTCTCCCTGCAGATGTGGAATTGGGGACCCTTTGTGCAACTGCAGTCACTTTCCTCTTTTCCTCACTCGGATGGATTAGTACCAGACTATTACCTTTGTGAGAGAGGAAGAGACAGACTTGAAACTGAAAACGGCTTGAAGTCGTTCAAAAACTTATGAACACTAAAAGAATAAACGGTTAAGCAAACTGAAGCTTCTTCAGAGAACCCCTTGTGGACATTGGGACCAGTTTCCTGCTGGACTTCAGTTTTGAAAAGAACTGAGACAGAAGGTCTTCTGTCACAATATTGGGTTTTTTTGATTTATTAAATATTTCCTGTGGTGTGAGGTTACTTATTAAATCCACAGACATTGAGTGACTTCTTGCAGTATACATATAAAAATTTGTTGTAACAAGTTACATTTCCACCCAGATGTCATGTTGCAGTGAAAAAGGGCACGATTTTTATACATATATATATACACATATATAGATATATATATGAATAAATAAAAAAGGAAAACCTGCTAAGATCATGCTGTGTAGCAGACAGGGGCTTGCTGTAATTTTTAGCATGTAGAGCAGTTTACTATGGCTTTCTTGTATATGGATCTACAATGAGCTGCTGTTTTTCCCCCCCTCCTACAACTGAACCTGCAGTTTAAAAAACAAGTGTAGTATTTGTACTGATTACACTCATGGACTTCAGGGTTTGATTTTGATCAATGTAGCAAACTAGGGAAGAAAAAAGTTCAAACCCAACCCTGTTTGTTTGAGGGAGGGAGGGGGGTGTATTTTCTTATTTTTGTTGTTTTTTTCCTTTTTAAAATTTTCTTTTTTTTACAAACAGCTCCTTTGCAGGTTTTTAGTAGTTTCTTCTTGACCCAGTGCATGTATTATAGCAGCAATTGTCTTTGTGCTTTCTGATCATAGTAATGTATCACTTGTAAATACATTTTTTCTATTTTCTATTTTTTTGTATTTTTGGCATTTTGTTCCATTAGTGTGCTGTATTTTTTCCATGCCCCTGTCCCTTGGAGAAAAAAAAAAAAAAAAGGAAAAAAGAAAAAGAAAGCTGTCCTTGACTGTCGTGACTGGTTGGAGTTTGTGTTGACTGTTTTGTACCTGTAGCATGTTAAAATGTGAATTTTTCACTTTTTTTTTAAACCAGCAGTTCCAGTTCTGTTATTTTATTGACTTGAAAGGCTCCCCTGAAGTAACTAGAACCTTAGTCCTTTAAAATACTCTGCTAGATTGGGTTTGGGGAACTCTCCTGAAAGCTCATAGCTCTTGTTAGTTCGTTAGGTGTTGGTAAGAGGTACTTGAGTGGAAGGAAAACAGAAATGTTTAAGAATGAACCTGACTGAACAGTAACATTCCTCTGAGGTACAATTTCATGACAACAGGTAAGAATCCTTCAGTGAAACTTCTCTTCTGTTCTGCCAGATGTTACAAGAGCATATTCAGTGCAGTAGAAAATTTTATCCAGCTGTGTGTGTAGTGTCATTAATTAACATCTTCTGTTCTCAGACAGGTCTGTCCCTGCTCCCAAGCAGAGGGGCTGATGGGACCGACACCTCTGAGCTGGCTGTAACAGATCCCAGACAGGAAAAACACTTGAAGAAACTGCAAGGAACAGCACAGCCCTTGGGGGTGGGAGGCTCTTAAGATTTTTCAAGTGTGCATGGATGGGTGTGTCAGGGGGGGAAATTGTGACTACTTCTTATTTTCCCCCTAGTTAACTATCTTTCACTTAGTTGAAGGTATTTCCTCCAACATGTGCCTGCAATGCTCCTCAGCAGGTAACTGGCACTTTTTAACAAAAAATCTGCTTTTCTATACATAACAGGTGTTAGGTCCCAGACTTGCTGTCAACTTGGTACAATAGGAAGGCATCAGTTTTCAGCTACATACCTCAAACTTGAGGTGAAGAAAATATTGAGGAGGGTATTCAGAGAAAGAAAAAAGACATTTTTTTGTGATGTGGGGTTTTTTTAGGTTTTGTTTTGTTAGGTTTTTTTCCCCCAAAGGTTCAAAGCAGTGGAATATATTTAGATCCAGTTTACTACCACTTCCATCTAATAGTAATGCCCAGCTCAGGTGCTTTTGGCTTCCTGGCAGTTCCCTCCTGCCTTTGGGAATAAAATAAAATTACTTTCTCTGTTTGGCAGTGGCATTGTTTAGTCCCTGCTGGGAAAGTGTGCCTGTGAATGATCTTCTATGCTTAAAAAGGATTCTGAAAAAAGTTCTAGAAGTGCTAATTGACAAATGCTTAATGAGAATTAATTTAGCTTTCCAGAAAAAAATCCTAGCCTTTCTTTCTAAGCTGTGTTGCCCTCCTGCACACTTCGTGACCTTCTGACTTAAAATGAGGTAGGAAACTGAGCTGTAACTGCAACACTTTTTTTTCTGAACCCACAGGTAGTGCCTGCTGCAAAGCTGAGTGCCCCACTTCCCCAATGGAATCTTGCACCTGCCAGGTGAGCAACAGTTAACTGAAAGTTGTTTGCTGCCCCTTCAGTGAGAAACAGCAGCTGCCACTTGCAGGAAAAGGATTCTGGTGCTTTGCAGAGGTTAACTGAAGTGTAACTGTTCTAATTACAATGCTATTACCATTTGCAGAAGGAAAAGCATTCTCCCTTAAGTTAAAGCTGTAAAGCTTTATCCCACAGCTCTCCCATCTAGAACAACCTCAGCATTCAGGGGATTAGAAACAGATTCCTACCTTGCTACTCAACTGCTGGGCCCTCTCTGTACAGATGCACCTTTTGTCCTTGTTTCTTCAGTCTGGCCAACTACGCATCCTCTCAGCTTGAGGATGAAGCTCTACAAGCTGCTTTGGGTCCTTTGGATTTCCAGAGGCCATCAAGGGCCCAGGGTCCCCTGTGCCTGTTTGGTCTGGTCTGGTTGTTCATGCCTTCTTAGTTTAATGTTTTGTTAACTCCTTAATAAACTAGTTGGCGCAAAGTCCTGCAGTGAGACCGCCAAAACCCTTTCTTCTGAAAAGCAGTCAGAAAAAAATTATTTTTAGTAATTGTTTGGCTAACATAAGCCTTCTTACAGGAAGATAAAAATATACTGGCAAAAATGTGATGCACTAGAGCATGTTTGCAGTAAAGTTACGAGGACAGGGACCAGATTTGTTATGTACAAACCTGTTAACAACTCAGGAGTTGGTTTTCGGCTGCATCTTTGGGAGTAGTCAGCTCAGAAATTGCACTGTTTGTATTTTGTAATTTCCCTAAGGTCACGCTTTGTCTTGCAAATATGATGAGTTCAGAAATGACCTGGGGTTGTCTGGCCAGCCAATATGGGTTATGTGTTACAGAAATGCAAGCTGGTCATTCTGTGTCTGCCTTGGCCTGTTGGGAGCAACCTGGGAAGCTGTCCAACCTGTGCCCAGCCTGGCTGTAAGGCCGTCTCATGATGCCTGAAGGCTCAGGAGCACACCAGGGTGGCCAGCACTGCCCCTGCCACTGTGTAACATTCATAAGCCTTTTGCTGAGATCAGTGTTTCTTGTCTTGAGCAGGCAAGTATGGGATGTTCTGTGAGGGAAGGGGAAGAAGGTATTGAGGCAATTAGGAAAAATCTGAGGTGGCTTCCCGTGCTCAGTACTGACCTCCCTGAAGGGGGAAGTGGAAGGAAGGCTCCCAAGTATTTTTCTTTTTATACAAGTAGCAAGTGGGTGGAATTTGAAATTACTTTTTCGCTAAGCAGTACTAAATTACATTTTTCATTCAAGTTAAAACACTGCCACCTTTTTTTGCCTCTATTTCATATCTTCTTCCTGTTGTTCCTGTAGGCACTTTGCATTTTTACTTCAGGACGTCTTTCAAATTTTGCATTTTTCATGCTTTCCAAGATCCCCAACGTAACCTGAATGTGTGGCTGTTGCCAGGTCTGTGTTCCAGGCTCTCAAATCAGGTGAAACAATTTTAAATAATTTCTCCTATTTTTCTTAGCTAACAGTCAGAAAAGACTAGTAGAGGAGACTACTCTGATGTGAAAACAATACTACAGCAATTTCAGCTGAGTCCTGCAAAACATTTTATACACTGCTTGAACTTAGAAGACTGAGCTAGTACATCTGTTTTTTCAAAATGGTGTGAAATTGATTGTGAGCTGTGTCCTGCTGTGCTCCAAGGAAGGCAGATGCTTCAGAAGGTGATCCAGACTCCAGGCAGCTCCTACTTCTTGGTGGGGGACAGGCCAAAAAGGATGTGGGCTCACTTCTTTGTTCCCAGGAAAGTTAAGTATTTCTCACCTGTGTGCATTGAACTGTGACAGCCTAGAACAACTCTTCCTTTAGTCTGTTAGGAACTCCCAAGAAGAGACTCTGAGCATACAGTGTAAAATAGATCCAATCTACAGACAAAGGAGAAGTAACTCATCCTTACTGTGTTTCCTAAGAAAGGATTCTAGTTAGGATTTCCCCTGCCTCTTTCCCAATAGTCTGCCTCATAACCAGTGTTACCGTACACTTGGAGCATTGAGGGCAAAAAAGATGTCCTTGAAAAATGTAGCTGTGGCTTATCTCCTTCCCTGCTTCTTGATGTATGATCTGATTTTTCCCTGCTCAGTGGTTCAACTTTGCAATGTCAGTTGAGTTTGTAAACTGATAAAAACTTTTGGGTTCACCTGTAAACAGACCCTTTCTCAAAGGAGAGCCTGACCCTACCCACACCTAGCCAGGTTAGTGCTGTCTGGGGGTGGCTTGTGGTTAAGAGCTCCCTGTTTAATGCTGCAAAACTTGTTTGTGTTCTGCGCTTTCAGCAGTTCTCTTCTGCAGCAGCCCTGAGGAGCAGACATACATGCTATACAGCCAAAATTCTCTCAGCCAGCAGCAGCAAGGAGTGAGTTCTTGGTATCTTGCTGCAAAAAAGCCACTCTTTACTCTCAGAGCTCTCAGGCAGGCTTTGTGCACAGCTGTGCTGTTTACCCCAAAGCAGTGCTGTGAACAGTGCTGTGAACAGTGCTGTGTGACAGGTTACTGCTTCTTTGGACCTGTGACAGCAAGAAAGTTATTGGAAAGCTTTTGTTTGAAATACTTCGCACCGGTAAAACATGTTTTTAGGTAACAGCAAAATTAAACTAATGGAGTATCTTCAGATGTTCCTAGACTCAGGAATCTGGCTGCCATGCTGAACCCATGTTTTTCTTACAAACGCCACCCTTTCTGTAATTTGATGATGTGCAGTGTGATTTGATACAGACTATGGCAGACGTGCAGCACTCAGCAAGTTAGCAGCAAGTATGCAGTTGCAAGCCAGGTAAGCTTGTACTGATGGCAGAGCTAGCAAGAAACTTCTTAAGGAGGCACATAGTGCATCATCCAGGCATTCTCAAAAGCAGGCTTGGG